GGGCACCTGTATGCGTCAACAATCAACTGTGGTCTCTCTTCATTTACCATCTCCAGTTGATTGTCGCATACACGTGTATACTTGCACTGACCTGTCTTCTACATCCTACAACGTATCGAGGCCCGCTGCTAGCCTTGACAATGAACCTCTCCTCGTCCAACTGTTTAAGCACCTCTCCAATGATCTGCCCCACACTCTGCAATGCCTTCAAATCATCCTCACTTTTATCGTAATCCTTATCTAATTTCGCAAGTTGCTTACGAGAATGCTTAACTTTTGCCTCTAACTCTCGGTGTTCTAGGAGCTTCCTTCGGTATGATACTAGTGCAGCTTTCTTGGCCTGCTCCGCCGGGTCAATCACAGGTGCTGGTGTTTCTGGGGCAGGGGCGTCAGCCATTACCTCATCGGTGTTACTACTACTCATATTTATATTTATTTACAATACTGGAACTTACTTAAGTCCTGTATATTTAGTATAGTTATGATCGTATGCGCTGAGTGTGTCTGATGTATGTAGACGGTAAGCGCACCCTTTGTTTGTATAAACTGTGTATATATCAACAATTCGTTTTATTATTGAATATTATTAAGTACGTGTATCTATTGTGAAGTATTCTGTTTACAGATGTGACATACTCGCTCCGATTGAGTTTTGACACATACTAATCGGATTCCAAAAATAAACGTAAACAATGTTCTAAAATTAGATCAGAGTTTATTTATAGATGGGCGGTAGTAAAGTATATGTACAAATTTTCCACCCCATACCAAATACAATTTTGATCGTCAATTCGGTTGACTGTGTGTCCATACAGTAAACGTTTAATGTTAACGCACAGGTGATTAGAATTTACAAAATGAGTACGTTAATATAGTCCCACGGACTCAATCCGTTCTCCCTCACAACAATATTTATAATAAAAAAACTTTTCATTCTACACAGATGGTCATGATGAATATCTGACGACTGACAGCCTCTTCCTCTACATACTTCGTCAAGAGTATCGGTTCCCCGAGACTATACGCAGGGCCTTCGTACAATAGGTCAAAGCTCTGTATACCATAGGTACTATTAATACCCCTTCGGGATAAGCTATAGAGATGTACAAACATCAAGAAGAAGGCGATATTGATGGACCCGACACCATAAGGCTGAAGCGAACAGTAGAAGTTTATCATAATACTTACCACAGCCCCTTTGGCGTTGAGCTGGCGCTGAACGGAAAGTATGTTCATTGGAAATATGGTTCACGTTCCATAGTTACCTATATATATATATATAAATATATGTATATATATATATATATGTGTGTGTGTGTTGTGTGAGAGAGAGAGAGAGTGCGTGTGTGTGTGTGTGTGCGTGTATTTTAGAGAATATGCATTTATTTATGTATATATATATATATATCTACATGTGCTTGTGTACGTTTATATATATATGTATATATATATATATATATATATATATGTGTGTGTGTGTGTGTGCGTGTGT